CTAATTTGTCTCATACGTCTAACTCCATGTAAAAAGTCAACTCCCACGCACACCAAGCTACTGTAAATCGCTCGACATATGGCATATTCCAAACTTCTACTCAATCTGCTCTACTATTCTGCTCTGCTATTCACCATCGTATTTTCGCCGTTTAACAATCCAAAATTTCCACTCAACCTGACCTACTATTCTGCTCTGCTATTCACTACCGTACTTTCTCCATACAATGCTGTAACATAATATTAATAAACAATTCCAGATGTCAACCAAAATGGACAAGGCTACTCAAACTCAACGAACACTACAGAAAGACCCTACCACACAAACACCAATCAAAGCATTTCTCCACGCAGCAACACAAACGGGAACCGACAACACCAAACCAACTACCAACACTGCAACCCAAACAAGGCGTTTCCACCCTGCAGGACAAGCCAACGTCGCGATACAAACACTGCTCCACAAAGTGCCAGGCCTATCATCAAGAGCGACTCAAACGGCTTGACTCTTCCCCGAACACTGATTCCCTGCGCTCTTCCGAGGCGGCGGGGGGAATATAGAGAACATTCTTTACGAATATTGGAATGTTCTCTATGTAAATCAATTACAACCTTATGTCAAACATTTCAAATACTGTTTCCGGTGACCTTCTCTCCATGACGATCTGATAACCTTATGTCAAACATTTTCGAATACGGCTTCCGGTGACCTTATGACGATCCGATAACCACATGGCTAACATTAAGTTGGCGGTTATCTCATGAAAAACATCTGCAGTTACAGTCCTATGCTTTGACTATCGCCTTATCAGATTGCAACGCTTGTGAAATGCTTCCGGCAGCCGTCCTTCCGCATACTGTAGCCTGACTCCACCTACTGTAACCCCACTCCACCTACTGTAACGAGACTCCGCCTATTGTAGCCTGACTCCGCCCAACCCAAACGGTATATAAACGGCTCCACGGCTGACTAGCTCAGGTCACAGCAATGCTGCCTAAATCACCATATCCTTTCCTCACATCGATCTCATGTGGTCGAAGTCTTATGACAACCTCTTCACTCTTGAACAACCTGAACACAAGAAATCAGACTGCGCCTATTCATTACTTGTATCATTGTTGTATTAATTGTACAGTTGTATTGTTATGCCATAATTGTTGTATAATTATGATAAACGGTTTAATTACCCAAGTTGGATGTTTCCGGCATTGTGACTACTACTTACAAGAAGTCCCGCGTGGCATACACAAAGGCGAGCAGCAAATTCCGACCGAATCATCTTAACTACTTGGTATTCCTATATAATCTAGCCGTCCCACCATATAGCCATTTCTAATGGCTACGAAACTGTAGCTCGGGATAGGTGTAGAGAAAATCGTAGGCCGCCAAACGACAACTCTAGCGATAAAAAAGGTCCCGTTTATCCTACCCTTCACCTCAAATGATGCAAGTGCAGCTATAAAACGTTGCTTAAGAAGGGCGGGTCTAGAGAATTCGGTAAACGCAGTTGAAATACCACCGAGTAATCTTAGGCGCCAGGTTCTTAGAAGCGCTCTTTTCGTGTGAGAGGGCTGAGAAAAGAAGAAATAATTTGATAAATGGTAACTTAATTGCCGTAATTTAATTTGTAATTCATTTGCATAATTTGTCCTAATTGTAGAAAATCGTAAGCCAAATACCCCACTAGGCACGTACAGGACCCAGAGGCATACAGGGAGGGCTTTGAAGTACGTGTCACGATCCTCGCACGAAAATTAAGAACACAAGCCCGCAAAACCTTCGAGGCGTTCTAGATTAATTCCAGAAATCCAAAAAAAGTATGCCTCATTATCACGTATGATAATGGGCAGTATATGAGTCTGTTCTTCTGATGGGACGGGCACATTACGCTTCCATATGAATTCTGTGCTGTCGGTCTTCACACGACATACTCAGTGAAAGCCTCACAGAAAGCGGTGAGCGTGCATAGAGACTATTCTGTGTTCAGTGTGATTGAAATCTTGGTTTAGCATTTTCTCTGTTTGGTTATGGAGGTGTTTCGCAGAATAGATTGCTGCCAACTTCTGAGGAAGGCGAAATCCGCCGAAACGTCAACTTATTTGCGTATGAAGAATAAAATAACACCTCGTGTTTGCTCAACAATAATGCGAAGAGTTCAAAAGTGCGTTTGTACAATTCGCGCGCAGGTGTTTACGGCGTTATTCAACAGGGTAGTGCAAACATGACGTCCAAAATATATCGTTTTAAAGAAGGGAATGACGCGCAATGGTTAGAGGTGCCTTGCAACGCACACTGGCTTGGTCGGTGGTTCGGTCCAGCGCTCTGGACTCATCTAGCCCTCTATTTTTCCGAAATCGAGAAGCTGCTACCAAATTAGTCTGGGCGGATAGCAACACTAATTTGTTGAACGGTAGCCCACTGCAAGGTTCTGCATAAACCAGATGGGCGTTCAGTCAACTTTACGATACTACATATATGCATGACGGACCCATCATGGATCGAACAACACCAAACGTTTCTGTCGTTTAATCTTTTCAAATACAGAGACGATTCCATTTAACGTTATTTTTACAAGTAGGCAAAGCATTTGGGTTTCCTCTAAAAATGGAGTCTTTATTTTCTTTTTATCTGCCTTTCTATGGTTTTTTCCATCCATCGTTCCCATCTGTTCGTGATCAATGAATATTTGAAATTACTAACCATGATGTGGTTGCATGAATGGCCTTTGGTTTCTTTCTATCCGTCACACCCATCTGTTCGCTATCAGTGGATATTTCAAATTACGAACCATGTTGTGACAACATGATTTCATTAATGGCCTTTGGTTTCCTTCTATCCGTCACACCCCTATGTTCGTTATCAACTGATATTTCAGATTTTTAACCATATTGTATCATAATATCGATGAATGCGCAAATGATGGGTATCGATTTTTCGAGTGGATCCGTCTTGCGCTGTGTCGCCATCAACTAACAACGCATCTGCGCCGAAGGTTACTTTTCGACAACGGACGATAATTTCTCGATCAACAGAGCATTTCAGTAGTTCAGCACTCTTTAAATTCAAACAAGAGAGCTTTATTTTATCGCATTCTATACATATATGGTTTTTAGGCAGTGTCCATTGAAATTTACATGTGTTTAGAAATGAAAATAGCAGAAAACTGATAAGGAAAATTGAGTTCTTGAAGTTCTGAATGGCAGTTGGTTTTTTTGTTTTCTTTTCCATTGATCGACACGAAACTGGCGAACTCACCAATTCCGTACATGCAAGGTGACTGGAACAACTAACAGGAAGTATAAGCTGTCAGTTATCAACGAAGGCTGTCCAGTTGCCATTCAGTAAGTAATATAAAAATCAAGTGAACTCTTGCCTTATACTGTTGGCGATTTCCTTGACTGAGTACATTTTAACATTCATCAACTTAGCGCATGGATTGGCAGTCTCGCAACAGTTCAGAAATTGAGAAAATGTTTTGTGATGGTTGGTCCAGAGAGCCAGCTTCCAGAAGAACTTTTAAGCTCAATAGGTGGCACAAAGATGTCGAATCAGCGTCTCCTAGAACGAGACGACTCAGCAACATTTTGAGGCCTTATGCTGCGCTACACGGAACTGGTTACTGTAATTGCAGTCGCTGTGCAAAATGTGCTTTTTTAATTCAAATATCTTCTAATACTTGATACCCAGCGTGAAGAACACGCGGGTGATCCCGCACGCAACAATACGGCTCTGGCGAACCAGAAGTCGCCGAAACTCAGCCAAGCCACGGCAACAACAACAACAACGACTTACACCATTACTACATCAGCTCAACAAGGACAGCTGGTAAGAGCATGTATAGATATATATATTTCAATAATTTCGATAACGACAGTTTTCCTGCAGGCCTTGTAGACCCTCGAATAATTGGTATACAGCAAAAAATGTCATCAGTGCCGTAGCTTCATAGCTTCTATCGTCACTTCAACTCGGCGCAGGCTTAGTGTTTTCATATGTATTAGAGCTTTCGCCACAATGTTTATGCATGCGCCCACATTGGTGCGCGCGTAGCGTAGTGGTTACAGGTGCATTGCGACAGACATATCGTTTTTGTTTCAATTCTCTCCACCCCGGTTAACTAAGCGAACTGAACAATTCGAATAAGGCCTCCATCACTCACGGGTTCCGGAAATTGATAATAGACCTGTCTAGAAGAGCAAGACCTGGATTTATACCCGTAGAATCCACGTACGGTTAAAAATTTCTATAATTGGTCTTAATGGAGTAATAAACTACTGTGAACTGTGAGTACCAGTAAAGTCTCTCTTTCCTAGGCGTGAGTTACAAAACTTAGCGAACTGAACAATTCGAATAAAACGGACAGCATAACACTTTTTATACGAAGACATCATCGTCAGCTTTAGCAAGAACGTAACAATCAGTAGATCGGTCAGTTCCGAGCTGACGTAGGTCTACTTGTAGATTAGCTTCTTCATAGAAATATTGAACTGCTGAGCTCGAAAATCACAAGTGTGTATCCTGCTGTATATCGCAAACACCCATCATAACTTATGCTATGGAACTTACAAACTAAGACCTAAGCGGTGACCGACTAGAAAATGGTCTTTTCGAGCAAATGGAAATAGAACTTCAAAAAAATCTCCGTAATTACCACCAAAAAAAAGATCGCTCTAATTATTATTTATATGGCATCATAACTACAAATATAGAAAAAAACTACGACAATAATACCGGAGTTTTACTTTGAAAAGGCACAATTTTATCTATACACTGCAAAAAATGGTCTGATCCCGAGAACACTAGTATGTAAACAAATGCGTACTTTGTAGTGTCTTAAGAGGATTCACAATACCGGAGCAGCGTGATGGAGAACATCTGCGTTTGAATTCTTCAGCAGTGGACTATCACTTTTAGTTAAAGTTTATTCCCCCACATTCATTGCAAAGTTAAAAATATTTAGAGAAGTATTTCCAAACATTCGCGTAGGTGATAGCTTCAGTTTATTTCACTCCAAGATTTTCATACATTCGTCTTCTTTCTGGAATAAAGTGACGTCGAACTGCATTTCCTATCATAGCGGACACTGACGCTACTCCTAGGATAACTCCTGAGAATATCGTTGCTTTGTTCTCAAACGATTCGGTAAGTGTTCGCTTTCGTGTACGTTCGCAGAGATAGACTGAAAATTTTCTATTAAAGAGAGCTTTTTTGCGATGATCAGCTAGAATTTTGCCTCGGAAAAGTATCTCGGATGATTGAGGCTAACGAGTTATGAGATAGCAAGGATGATCAGATAGCTCATTACAGCATCATCCATTTATACTAATAGGAATGAGAGGACCACAGTCTATTCTACAGTTCTTCGTATTCGCAACCGCTCAAATCTTCCGATTCCCGAAATATTACTGTCCTATGCGTCAATGGAAATGCGTTAACAAGGATAAAATACGAATTACTACTTTGTACTATCTACAACTGTGTGCGTGTGGCGCGGTGGTTGGAGGCGCCCTGCAACACACACGTGGAATCGATCTCCGCGCCCATGGTCCACCAAGCTTTCCATCCCTCCGAGGTCGGCAAATTGGTATCAGACTTGTCCAGAAGGTTGGCATCACTGGCTCGGTGGACCACCGCTAGTCATTGTAAAGGATAGATATGCATTTAATCACCTCCAAACGATGCTTAATGAAGTCGAGTGCATGGCGCATCCCTCAGAGGTTGACCAACGCCGAGAGCATTATCCTTTATACTTTTACTATCTACAATGTCGATTTTCTAATCTGTGGATCAAGATTCGACCACATTTGGCAAATTTTAGCTGCTCTCAGTGAATGTTACTAGACTCTTGTTTTTCAATTTCAATTTGATGAAAACTGCTTCACTTACAGTTACTTTTAGGTCCGAATGGCTGAATATCGATTTCCGGTGTAAATTCGGCTACGACATCTCTAAAGCAGTCAGTGAAAACGGGAAGACAAACGTCATTCTCGATAGCATCAATTTGATAGCGTAAATTCTCCTACTTGAACCCAGGTTTATGAAGTGTGATATTCAGACGATCCCTGCACACAAACTTCTGTGGCAGCGGTGCGCTCATGACGATGGATGAGTTGTCTGATTCGAAGGCTACAGTAGCCGCTGAATAACTTTAGTTTAATACAAAAAGAAACAGATGCAAAAAAACTGGAATGTTACCGATATTTTGTGAGAATTGTTATCCGTAGTCTACATGAAATCTCCCAGGGTTACACATTCCTAGAGCCACACACACACCCCCACACACGCACACACACACACACACACACACACGCATCACAAATGTGCACGTAAATGGGCGAATGCATATACACATATATATATATATGTATATATATATGAATTCTGCAAAAGTTAGCAAAGGATTCACCGTTGAAAGTCTCTGAATATACCACCTTTTGTAGTTGCCAACGCAGTTCTTCGTATTTTTTTACCAGCACATTTCCCTGGAATGGACGAAAACCGATTTATAATAATTGTATTTGATTTTCAAGAGTGGATAACTTCTCACTTACGGTACTGAAGTAGAACTCCATCCTTTTTTGCCTGCTGTTGTGTTTGTCAGTGGTTGCAGTTAGTAAAGCATCACCTTTAGTATTGCGAGCACAGTAACCAGATATCGTTGTTGACATGAGGTCAAACTAATGCGGCTTATGATAAATTAACTTTATGTTTGTTACAGATGAATAAGCATATGTTTAAATAAAGAAATGGCAAATATAACGATTTTCATGGATATTGTGATGAAGCTGACCACATCTTTATAGTTCAACTTTATAACTGGTCCACTCTCTTTGTCACATAGTAAGGCACCTAAGAACTAAGATTACAACTGGATAAAACATAACCACAATGTTACTGAGATATTCGGAAAACTCCGGACCGCTGAAGTCTGCGGTGGGGACCAAACACGCTACTACCCTTTCCGGGGACTAACGCGTTCACCACTACACTATTCGAGTCCTTTAATTCGCCTGTCTCTCAGCCGCGTTATTGGCCTATAAGCGCTATCAGCAATCACCCATCAACGGGAAAAGAAAAAGCAGCTCAGCAAAATTCTTTCAAAAAAATACCCTAAAAATGAGTTGACATCACCTCATGCAGGCCAAATTTCCTACTTCTGTATTAGTGGAAATCCGCTCACAACGGACTCCAAGCATCGATAAATGAAATCATATACCGAAATTTAACTAACGGTAAGAATCGTGGGAAAAGATGCCAATGACGTTATTTACTGTACGTTATGCTGTTATGGAAACTCGCTTACCGGAATTCGATTATTTGTACCATTTATGTTGAAATTGATAATTGTTACCGTAAACACGACAACAAGGCAGACCTCACCCTAAAATTTGCAGAAATCCTTTTTTAATTTAACAGGTCTAATAACTGACCTCGTAGGAAGTAGGACAGCAGCTGAACAGGGCATTATTCCACTAACTTGTTCAACATAAATGTTTTAATTCGAAATTAGTATGGTACAACAATCCGATGATGGACATTTATAGTTTTGCAGGGTTCTTAATTATACATGAACTTGTACGAGATAAAAACGAAAGAAATACTGAAAACAAATACCTTGCCGTTGTAAAGTCCAACCTCGTTGGTGTCATGGTTAACAAACGATGTGAAGTTCGCTTCAGTACCGAACACAAGCGCCAGTCCTGAAAGTTCTCTGAAGATTCTGGTTATACTTTCTCATCTCTTAATGACCTCAATTTCAGTGCAATTCAGTAAAACAATAGAAATCGTAGAACATTTATTTTCTCTGTAGAAAGTAAGCGAGATGTCGTTGAGGCATTGATAGAGATGCCGTACAATGTGTCTAAAGCCCTGGTTTGGTAGCTCATACAGCCAACTAAGTCTTCCACCTCTCCGAGATTAAAAAATAGGGCGGACTGGTTTGCAATAGGGTGTAACATTACTGTTGATTCGTGTTTACCTTTATTTGGTTCAGAAACCTCTTCCATTCCTTCACTTCAGCAATTTCGAAATTCTTTAATGCAACTGATTATACTTCATGAGCAAAATATACTAGTAAATAAGTGGATATCATTAAATCAGAATGTAGAGGTTAAGATTTTTGTTAGTATTCGCGATATTTTGTAAAGAAAAAGCTTTCTTAGAATTAAAATTCTCATTAGAACTCACCGATAGACGTTGTGATGAGCACGCTTAGTGGCATTGATTGCTGAATAACACATTCGAGCTGCTCATTTTAAGCCCGAGGCTTGCCGTTGTCAAAGAAAATTCGTCATGGCATGGCATAAGAGAATGAGAGAGTAGTGGATGACATTCTAAGATTTAGAGCACGGATGACGATGAACGAAAAGTGCCAAGTATTAGCCTATAGTTGGACGAATGTCTTTGTTTAACCAATATTTATATTCCTATTTACAATATACAGATGTGTACACATTTCGACTAGCTACATGGAAACAATGTTTGCTGGATTATTATTGAGAATAAAGAGAGGATAAAGAGATAAAAGCATTCGGTGTTGATCACTTCGTTCCAGGTGCTCCCTTGCATTCAACTCTATTCGTAGCCTTATATAGGGCACTGGATGCTTATTGGGCACATAAACGACATACGTGGGCCTACCAATGTATAAAGTCAGTCTTGTTTATCTTCTCAGACAAGTCTTGTAGCAGATCGCCGACACAGGAGGGATGAAGCTGTTTTGTCATGCAAGAACAGTAAGATTGAATCGATGCACAGTTATGTGTTACAGAGTGCCTCTGACCATTCTGTCAACTGAGATATAGCCAAGTCCTATAAAATGCCTCAAAAGCGCTTAATTTAAAACTATTCGATTTGTTGCAAATATTCGAAATCGTTGGTTTCAACGTAGGCTCCGTTGTATTCCAGACGCAGTCTGTAGAACTATAAGTAAGAACTCCATAACCATTTAATTTGCCATTGTATTTAATACGTCCGTCTTTATTTTCTGCTCTGAGCTCATTTTCCATTGCTTCTTTTGCTGGTGTTCGGTTTTGTTGTTTTCCTTCTGAAGAGCCTAATAGTAAAAACCAACAAATTGAGCTGTTTAGCTTGAGCTGTTATCATATTTATATGATTATGATAACGTCCCTCCTAACAGTCCTCTTACCAAGAAAGTTTCATTTGTGACTGCTTTCGGAACCAAAGTTGCGATGGACGTCCCTTTTGTAAAAACTATTTTATGCTTTATATTCTTGTTCAGCAAGCACGAGGTGTTATTTTATTTCTTTATTTACGCACAAGCTGACGTTTCGGCGAATTTCGTCTTCCTCAAATTCTGGAAAGGTCAAGTTGACAACAATCTACCGGACCAAACACCTCTATAACCAAAAAGAGAAAATGCCAAACCAAGATTTCAATCACACTGAATCTAGAACAGCTTCCAAGACCGACTTTCTATTAACCTCGGCATTGGATTATAAATCTGTTGTTCTCTTTTTTACAGCAATCACGAGGTTGTTATTCAGCACACCTTTACTTCCTTACAAATATAACACATACAACACAACATTAGCTGACGATTCGGCGTTATCGCCTTCTTCAGAACCTGGAAGCGTACACTAATATGTAATTTACTATTAACCAGATACGACTCTAAGCGGCTGTTCTTTCTTGGTGGAAAACAGATAAAAACGGTGGGTTTTTCGAGAAACCGGTGATTGTGTAATTACTGTTCAGATTTTCACCTTTCTGTTTGCGTTGTTGAAGCGTTTGACCCAACAAATTGTATATTAGTGTACCCTTCCAGGCTCTGAAGCAGGCTATACTGCCGAAACGTCAGCTACTGTTGTGTTGTATGTGTAATATTTGTGAGGAAGTAAAGGTGTGCTGAATAAAAACCTCGCGATTGTAGTAAAAAAGAGAACAACAGATAGAACAGCTTCTTTGCACAATCTCCGCTTTCTATGAGTCTTTCACTGAAAATGTCACGTGGAGACCAAACGCAACCGCCTGGAAGTTCACCTGGAAGCGTAATGTGCCCTTCCCACCAGAACAACAAGTTTAAATACTGCCCAATATCACACATGATTATAAGGTATTCTTCTTTGTGGTTCATTTTCGGATTCTTGGAATTAATCCAGAATGCCTCGAGAGTCTTGTGTTTTCGATTCCTGAACGAGGATCGCGGCCTCTACTTCAAAACCCTTCACGTTATATCTCCCAATCTTATGCGTGCCTAGTGGGGTGTTTGCTTTGAGTTTACCGACTAGGTGTTTTTTTATACGGACACAAAGTGTTTCGCCAATGTATTAGTGTGCGTACGCTTTACAAGGGATCAAATAAACTGTAGCCGAGTTCATACAATCGACATCTCTACCATTAGGGCAAATTATGCAATTCTGCGTTGCACATAGACGGTCATGCAGGCGGTTACGAACCAGCTGACATCTTAGAGTACTCGGTGGCACTTCCATTACGGTTACCGAGTTCTCCAAACCGGCTCTTTTTAAACAGTGTTTTACAGCCGCACTTACTAAAAATAAACCGCAGAGAAGAATGCCTCATAATTACGCGTGATATTGGGCAGTATTTAAACCTGTTATTCTGATGGGAAGAGCACATTATGCTCCTATGTGAAGTCTCTGCAGTTAGTCTCCACGTGACATTTTCAATGGAAGACTCATAGAAAGCGGTGAATGTGCAAAGATCCTGTTCTGTGTTCAATATGATTAAAATCTTGGTTTACATTTTTCTGTCTGTGGCCGGGTAGAATGCAGTCAACTTGATTTTTTCAGGTTCTGAGAAAGGCGAAATCCTCCGAAACGTCAGGTTGTGCGTAAATAAAGAAGTGAAGTAACACATCGTGTTTGCTAAACAAGAATATAAAGAATTGTTCTATTAATGCCGACATAGACAGTCGGTCATGAGAGTTATTATTTTATGCTTTCAATGACCATGTTCTTTTGTGGGGGGGCGGGGGGGGGGGGGGGGGTTTGATGTAAGTTCCCGATGCTTTGGTTTTTAGGTGTGACAATTAGACAGATGCGACACCGATGAAAGCCATTTGCTGATATTACTCATGATATTACTTCATTATAGTCACATTTCCGACAAATGAAAAGATGAACAAGTTTTATCGTGAGATCTACACGGAATTAACTGCCGACTTCAACCTTCATATAACATATCATATCTCAGCTAAGAATAAACTTTTTTATTTTACATGACCAGTCACCACATTTATTGAGCGGAGCCCAGAACTTTATGCATTCGATTCGTTTCGGTTCCTTTCATCGTCCATGTACGTCTTCGAACAGTTCGCATATTGCTTCGGTTACTGCTTGAAATTTCGTCTTCCTCATAAAGGTCCTAGAATATAATTTCTGATGGCATCGCGCTAGCGTAAAAACTGGCCGAGAGAAAGTCAAAACAACGGCCTCGGTGGCGCATTGGATAACACGTGAAACCCGGAAAGTGCAACCACGGGTTCCAACCTGGCATGGGGTTTAAGATTTGAAAATATGTCAGCATCACAATCATTGTATTTCACATAATACCTTTCCATAAGGGCGCGTGTGGGGAAGTGGTCGGAGGCGCCCTGCAACACACACGCGTGAATCGATGCCAATGCCCATGCACGGCCTACCAAGCCTTCCATCTTTCGGGATCGGCAAATCGGTACCAGAAC